GCAGTGATTTCTGACCTGCTGGCCAAAGTCAAGGAGCTCTGGTGGCGTAGTGCCTAAGGCATTTGACTGCTAACCAGAAGGCTGGCAGTTCAAACCCACCAGCCACTCCTCAGAAGGAAGGTTGGGCAATCTACTTCCGTAGTGATACTGCCTCAGAAACCCAAGGAAGGTTGCTATGAGTCAGATCCGACTTGACGGCAGTGAGGTTTTTTTTTTTTTTTTTTTTTTGGCCAAAGTCAGGGCTCAGGGTTATGTCTTTATCTCCTTGTGCATGCTTGGAAATAGATGTGTATTGTTCACTGCCTAGAATCATCAGTAGTTGGAAAATATGGCCTTGGTGATAGAAATGACACTGAAGATTTTATGATAAGAATTTTGCAAGACCAGTGATTTATTCATTACAAATACTTTTTTCAATTACATAAATGGTGGCTATAAATGTGCACCTTACTAGATGGAGTACACAGGAATCAAATTGACTACACTTGTGAAAAGAGACGATGGAGAAGCTTAATATCACTAGTCAGAACAAGGCCAGGAGCTGACTGTGGAAAAGACCAGAGAAAAGATTGAAGTTGCCAGGGATTTCATTTTACTCAGATTCACAGTTAACGTCCATGGAAGCAGCAGTCAGGAAATCAGACGTTGTATCTCACTGGGAAAATCTGCTGCAAAAGACCTCTTTAAAGTGTTAAGAAGCAAAAATATCACTGTGAAGATAGAGGTGCACCTGACCCAAGCCATAGTATCTTCAGTCGCCTCATATGCATGTGAAAGCTGGGCAATGAATAAGGAAGATCAAAGAAGAGTTGATGCTTTTGAGCTGTGGTGTTTATGAAGAAATACTGGAAATACCATGGACTGTCAGAAGAACAAACAAATCTGTCCTGGAAGAAGTGCAGCCAGAATGCTCCTTGGAAGTGAAAATGGCCAGACTTCCTCTCCCTACTTTGGTTATGTTGTCAGAAGGGATCATTCCCTGGAGAAGGATATCATGTTAAGTAGAGGGTCAGTGAGCAAGGGGAAGGCCCTTAATGAGATGGATTGACACAGTAGCTGCAGTGATGGGCTCAACCCAGCAAGGACTGTGAGGCTGGCGCAGGACTGGGCAGTGTTTCATTCTGTTGTACATAAGGTTGCTATGAGTTGGAGTTGACTCAATGGCACCTAACAAGCCCAGAATTGCCAGGTTGATTCCAGTGAGACTGGCTGGGATTGGGCTTCCATAGAGGGAGAAATCTTGTTTTAATACACAAATATGCCATTTAACCAATTTTCTCTTGCTCTAAAGAGAAATCACCAAAAAACCTGTTAATGTTGAAAAATGTTACATGCCATGAAGTAAACTAGTTCTGGTGGTACTGTGGTTAAACATTGGGTTGCTAACTGAAAGGTTGGTGGTTCAAACCCACCAGTCACTACATAAGAGAATCTGCTTCCATAAAGATGTACAGCCTTGGAAACTGTATGGGGCAGTTCTACTCTGCCCTATAGGGTCACTATGAGTTGGAACTGACTTGATGGCAGTGTTTCTGTTTTTCTTTTTCTTTTTTGGTTTTACTCCTCTGGGGGATGGGAGGGCAGGGGGCTCAGATTGACATTTGTGCCTTCAAGAAGAATGACCTTTCACAATACTTGCTTTTGACAAAAGAAGGGCCCTCCTCCTCTGTCATTGTCATGGTTCCCTCCGCCATCTTGCTTGAACAGGTCCCTCCTCCACACTGTGACCTCCGGAGCCCCATGACAGGCAGGAACAGGTTAGGGGCCCATGTGCTTTCCTTGGATCTTTCCTATGACATATTTTAAAAATAGCTTTAACTGTATAAACAGTTGGGTAACAGTCAAGAGAAGGGTTTGTGAATCTGGACCCCAGGGAGCCAAAGGCTGGGTTGGCTGGATTTCTGCCCTGTCAGAGCTGGCTCAGGTGATCATGTGTGAGTGGGGTGGGGTTCCCAACTTGCATTTCCCCATACTGTGGGTGGCCACTTACCAACACTGAGCACCAGCTCTGCACTAGAAACCACACATTATGTGTGTGTTGTCTTGGGTGGTGCCTGGCCAGAACCAAATGCATTTTGGTAGCACTTCCCAGGGTGGTGATTAAGCACAGACAGAAGCTGAGGATTTGGGCTGCAGCACGAGGCATGTGTGAGCATCTAGAGGCCAGGGGAGCACTGGAGTCTGGCCTGGACTCTGAGGGGACTAGAGGCAGGGCCAGCCAGTTCCCTTTGTGGCTTCCTCCCTTCTGGGCTCGAGCCAGGGTGCACGTGCCTTCTTGCAAGTAGGAACAAACAGGATTGGACAACTGGAGGGAGTCCACCAAGCAACCCAGGGAGCTGGGTCTGGGCTGCAGTATAGCCACTTCACTAGTTTGTACACAGTCTAAGAAGTTAATAAACTGATGTAGTCCAACTCTGAGAGTCAAGAACATGCCAACCACCAGGCTGCCATTTGTTCCCGGACACTGTTGAAATATGTCTCTCTGGCATCAGTCCTTCGGGTCCCCAGCCCTGCTTTCTTAGGAAGCAGCCAGCTGCTCTGCATTTTTAAAAGCTCTGCCCTGCCTTTGGTTGTTCCACTGCCATTATTCTGGTTACTTTGGCTCAGGGATATCCAATCAATGTGTGAGTCTGTCGGGTCCCAGATGTTCTCACTCCTCGGCAGATGCTGACCTTAGATCAGCCTGCTCAGGGTCTGCTCTGTGCCTTCAGTGCACAGGAGCCTGAGAACCACCCCATGCCCTGTGTGCCTTCAGGGACCTCTAGGCATGCCTGTTTCCAGGCCCTGGCTGCACTGAGCGTCATCTTCTCTGCAGGGCTCCTCCACCTCTCTCCTGTGAACAGGAGCTGCCTAGATTCTTTATGTGCACGTCCTTGCAGATGGTTTGTTTTGCACCAGGGCTTGAGATTTTTATCAGAATGTTAGACACTCTCAGAAAGGAGCTTTTTTAGGAGTTTCTGCAGATAAACAAAATGAACATTGGGAAAAGTCTAAATATCTACCAGTAGGAGACAATTAAGGAGCCCTGGTGGCGCACTGATCAAGCACTTGGCTGCTCACCAGGTTGGCAGTTTGAATCTACCAGCCGTTCTGTGGGAGAAAGATGAGGCCACCTGCTTCATGAAGATTACATCCTTGGAAATCTTGTGGGGCAATTCTGCACTGTCCTATAAAGTCACTCTGAGTAGGAACTGACTCCATGGTACTGGGTTAGGGGATAATTAAAATATGATAAATACATTTGATGGGCATTAGATTTTTTATTAATAGAATACTTCTGTAATAAGTGAATGGAAGAAGCAAGACACAAGTGGTGTATACATTATGATCATAGCTATGTTACAGAAAAGGAAAAAAGATGTGAAGGAAGCACACCAAAATAGTACATTGGTCATATTGAGGGAATGGAAATACAGTGATTTCTTTGATCTTTTCTGTATTTCCTTATTTTCTACAGTGAACATGTATTAAGTTTTTTAATGGGAAACAACGTTAAAATTTTTAACAGAAATATACTGGGGGAAAGGAAGCAGAGAAATGCTCCCAAGTGCTTGTGCAGCTCACTGAGTACAAACCACACTGAAAAGCGTGCTCTGCTTCATGTGCGGACACTCCACTAACAGGTGTGCGGAGGGCATTAAGTTCTTACCTGCACAAGCCACCTCTCACTCTCAATGCCTTACTCATTGTTAGCCTAAGTATGCAGTTGATGCATTCAATTGGAAGCATGAATTTCTCTAAGAGCAGGGCAGATTTTCCCTGAGGTGGTGGTAGCCAGAGGGGTGCCCTGTTGAAGTTCACACAAGACCCACCAAGTATGCATCCTTGGCCACATTCACTGAATGTGTTCTGAGGAGCTGAGCTGCAGGGGTGGAGCCACAATACATAATTGTGGTTGGTGTTCATTCTGATGGGAGGAAAGAAACTTGAGCCCTGCTGAGACCCAGAGCATCTTCCCTTTATTTTCTTTGCTCTATCTGCTAATTATTAAAGAGCTCAGTTTGTCTGGCAGTTGTGTCCCCAGAGTGGCTGGTTCGTGGCCTGACCGTATTAGGGAAATGCAGTGTTCCATGATGTCTGCAGGCCGAGAGGAAGGAGGTGGCAGATGAGACCAACAGGGAACCACCCCCACTTTCAGCTTACATTAGAACAGCAACAGAAGTGAGGAGAAAACCATCACCCTAGGAAATGGTTGCCTTAAAAATGTTTTCTTATTTCCCAGGTTTGATCAGTTTTGGGATTTGTTTTTGTTATCATCATTTTTTAAGTAGAAAAATAACACACACCATTAACTGTTAATTGTCCTAGTCAGACTTGGGGCCAGCCCTACCTGTAGGGGATAAACATGGTAGGCCGGGGTCCCTGTGGAGTGTAATTTATGTTTTTTGTTATTTTCCATTTTGCATCTTCACTTCCCTGCCCCCTGAAATCATGTTTCCCAGTGGGCCAAGGTTTCTGGACTTCATCTATGTGAAGTGGTTCCCTTCTGCAGCCTGGGTGACCCCATCCTTTACCAGAATGTCACCTCGATGAATTAATTCAGTGCACATGAGACAGATCCATCTCTGGGCCTGTGACTCCTGTCAGCAGGAGTCCTGTGAGTGACCATCCTCTCTACACCTCCCACAGCCCCTCCTGCACAGAGGAGGAGGACTCACCATCACTGCAGAGCATGGTGGGCACCAGCCGACCCCTCCCTGCTGCTGCAGTGAGTTCTGTCATGCAGGGTACTGAGAGAAGTCCAGTGTCGGGAGGAGACTCAGGCTTTGCTCACGTGCCATCTAGAGGCTTCGTTCCCAGTCCCCCATCAGGGATACTTCAGGGGAGATAGGGCCCAGCAGGGCAGTTAGGTACCCTTTCCCCTGGGCCCAGCCCACACAACTGGGCACTGATTGAATCTGTTCTTCCTGCCCAGGGTCTCCCTGTCACTGCAGTGGGAAGTGGGGCTGGCAGAAGAGCCAACTCCTTGCTTCTTCTCTCCCCTCTCCTCTGGCCTGCAGGTGTTTGAGGAACTGTGGAAGAGTAAGGGGAAGACAGCAGCACAGATTGTTTCCGAAAAGAAGCTGGAGCTGATGCAGGCTCGGGAGGTGCTGGCGCAGCTCTGCCAGACCGTCATGGAGGGACATCCTCAAGTGGTGACTATCACGCAAGGGGAGAGGGTCCCCCTCTGGCCAGCAGAGGGCCAGGGCCACCTGCAGGGCCCACCAGCTGCCAGGGTTGAGGACACAGCCGAGACCCTTCCCACCACTCCTTGTGCCAGTCCAGAGGCTCTTCCTAGTTACGGCTGGCCCAGCTTCATCAGTAATTCCCTGTTTTTGTTAGCTTTTAAGTTAAGGTCCAATGAGATGAAATTAGTTAAAACTGGAAAAATGCAGCTTCTCTGGCAAGGAAATTCCACTCTGGAGGTCAGTCTTTGTGACGCTACAATTTAAAAGGGTCTGATCAAGCTCAGTAGATCCAAGTTTGACCTCCCAGGGATGTCTCCCTCTCTCTGGGTGGGTACTTTGAATCTGTTGCAGCTAGACTAGTGTAGCCTCGTAAGGAGGACTTCTCAGTAACAACCCAGCAGGTGTGGCTGCAGAGCCGGAACGACAGGGAAACACTTTAGCCTCGTGTCTTTAAGAGGTAGGCAGAATGGCAGAGAGGAAAATTATTGATAAATTATGGAGAAATCCTTGACAGCAGCGTGGCTGAAAACAAGTCATTTTGTGTCTGAGCAGAGCACAAAATAGAAAAGCTAAGATGAGGAGCATTCCTCCCTCCACCAGCCTAATCATGTTGTCTACAGAGACTTCTCAGTGGGGAGAAAACTGCTAGCATCTCTTTAAGAATAGTACCCACCCACCCACCCATCAGCTTGCCGGGACACTAACAGCCCCGTCAAGAGCCCTTGATAAGGAAGATGAGCTTGCATCGGGTCTTGGCAGTGTCCATCTTCCTGCCTCATCTGCAGTTACGGCTAAAAGCACACTTCGTTTCAGACTCATTCTGCAACACTCCAGTGCAGATACGTGCAGACCTAACTGCGGATCAAGGCGCGGCGAGCCGGAGGTCGGGCAGGCGGTGGGCCCTCACTGTCTGTGGTTATTAGATACGAATCCAGAGCCTCCTGTCTGCTCACTCTGCCCACCATGGCGCACTGCCCCCTCCAATGCTCTGGAAGAGTTTTCGATTTTTAGACTTGCTTTCTCATAAACGGATCTTATCAGCAGGGGAGGGCAGAGAAAGCTGTGCGTTGCCAGTGATGGCTAAGCACTGTCACTCTGGAATTAGAGCTGCATCCTCACTCTGCTCAGACTTGGTAATTCATCTCGGAGACGCGATTCACTCAAAAGGGCGGGGAGAAGCTCCGGGTCCTCGAGTCACTGCGGTGCCCGGGAGGAGAGTGCCCTTGTTCTTGCATGCCAGCGTCTCTCACTGTAGGCAGTCACTCGTTAGACATGAGAGTTCTCCTCATGTTCGTTTTAATCAGAAGGCAGAGCAGCAAAAACACTCTTTGGCAGGAGCCTGGAAACCTTGGACGTTAGTCCCCCTCCTTCCTTTTTCCCATCTTACAGCCAGTACTAACAGGAAAAAGATACTGAATTTAATTTTTAGTAAACTTAACCCTTAGTTTAACATTTTTAGTTATGTAGTGGCTTATTTTTTCCATCTAAACCATTTCTATCTTTAAAGGTAATGGATGTGAAGACAGGAAACCCCAAAGCTATAAATAAACTGATTGGGCTGGTCCGAAAAGCAACGCTAAGCCGAGCAGATCCGACAGCGATAAAGAAAATACTGGAGGAGAAGCTGTCATCATGAGCTGTTCTAGGTCTCTGTGCCAAGTGAGAAGGAATGGTGCAGCCACCATTGGGAACAGGAGTCTGTGACACGTGAGGCCATCCTTGGCTCAATCCAGGGCCGCGCCCACACCTTCTTGACCTCTTAGAGCCTGTGCATTGGGGTGCTGCCTCCAGAGAAGACATACCCCATTTGCCGTATTGACATCAAGATGGTTCAGTGAGAGCTGCAACAGAGACTAAGGAAGTGCAAATTCCAGTATTTATTTATTCTGAACTAAATAAAACATACATACCATTTCAAATACTGTTACCATTCTTAAGAAAACTCACTCAGCAATTCATTCAACAACACCTATTTTTGGGTACTTGTGCTAGGTACTGGGATTGGCAATGATCCAGACATCCAGTAATGTGGATGTAGTATTTTCAGACCTAAAAATAGGCTAATGAATTAAATTGTCATAAACACCAATTTGTTTGAGGGCTCATGGGGGTAGGGACAAAGGATGGGACAATAGGACTTTTGTAATAATCACCAGCTAGTGAATAAAAGGGATGCTGCTGTTCAACCCCCTAAGGAACTCAGAAGGCATAAGTCTAAGGTTTTTTTTTTTTTTTTTTTGGGGGGGGGGGGTAAAAAGACAACAGAAGTTTTCAAATAAATTTAATGAATAAAATATATACTGAAGTATCGCATAAAAAATTAACTTCAAAGATTGTGCAGTTGATAACCCACCCACCCTATCCTTGGGCCAAAAAAGATGATAAGAAGGAAAAACCTGTAACATTACATTGATTTGTTTTATCTGGAAAGAATAAGATTATCAACTAGTATATCAACATCTTGACCTAAAGAGATCACCATGGTGCAGTGAACAGTAGTACCGCGATGTAGACTAAGTGGCCCACACACCTGTTTTCACAATAGTAATACTATATTCTCTCTATTGCACTATGGCACCCTTTGTCCTCTATGCCTCCTTTTCCTCTGACTCTCAGCTCTTATTTCAAAGACCAGTTTTGCAAATGCAATTTTTTAAAAAGCACGTGCCAGTGGCACAAGCAAGAGAACAGAGTCTTTGAAGACCCTGATTTTAATCCATGAGTTTAAACTGAGTTCTTTACCCACCAAAGAGAACAGTGAACACATTTCTGTCTTGAACATGGCTATGGCAGCAGCTGGGGAACTGGAGAAAAGTGGAACCCCCGACCCCTAATTTAGCAATTATGGTTCCCAGTTGCAGACAATCACTCAGGGCTTCTCTGAGTGGAGAGGAATGTCCTGCTAACCCAGCCAGAAAAGCAGCAGGGCAAGGACATTTGTTGCTTATTTATTTTTCAGACAAGCTGATGGTGAGGAAGTAACCTCTTAAAAAACAGTTGTCCCATACCCAGGAAGCTATGTACCCTGTATTCTGTTGCAATACTGAGAAATACTGGGACTAAAAGTGCACTTGTTTTCACAAAACCTTTAAGAGAGTGAAAGAATGTTCTCTGCCTTGCTCCACAGGTCTCTCTGGTTTACCAACAGGCAGAGAAGGCCCGAGGTTGGAATTTGGTGGTATCTTTACTGTGTAAGAAAGAAGCAAGTTCAGTTTTGTTTCATAAATGCCATTTTCACCAAAGGTTAGGCTTCTTGACCAATCAATCAAGCCTTACAGGAAGCACTGAAGTTTCTTTCCAGACCATTTTAAATGCTACCTTAAATGGGGGTGCAGCCAGATAAAAGTTTACCAAAGCTATTAATGTCAAGTGTAAACTATATGTGGACTGATCTTTTCCTGCAAAAAATCCCATTGTTAAAACACTTGATTTTTAAAATAATAATTCTTGTCCAGCTCTGACAAATGCCTTTTCCCTTGAATGCCAAGTTCTGAGATCTTTAAAGCCAGACTTTGTTATGTTGAAGAAATTGCTACTACCAAAACAACAACAACAACAACAACAACAAATCATAGCTCAGCAATCTTACTTGGAGCCTGACTAGATATTTGAAAGATATGTTTACATAACACCCTCAGAAATTCACAAAGTGTGCCTCTGCTGGTAAATGGGCTTCAGTGAAAAAAAAAAAAATGTAAATCCATTCTTGCATGAGTGTGAATTTAGTCTGGTTCTGTGTTTGTCATTCAGGGGGAAAACCTCATTAAAATGTATGAGTTGACGCCATAGGTGAAGCAACTGCCATCTGTCACTGGAATCCACACACCTGTAGGCTGGGTGTGTGGCACTGAGCTCTCACTGGGAAGGGAATGTGCCAAAAAACTGGCTCCCCCAGGTCCACCTGTCTGTCCAGGCACCTCCATCAGAGTGAAATTCTGTTCTTGTCTCTCAATGTGTTAGATGGCCCAGTAAAAGGAATTTAGGTGGTTATTACACCAAGGTAAGGATGTATAAGCTGAGCCCACCATCACCACCAACGCCACCACCACCTTTTTTTGTGGTGGATACTGGTAATCTGGAAGAAGGCTATAAGTTTTTTAAAATTATATCATAGTTGTATGTGCCCCCCCTCAGTGCTGAGTTGGTTAATTCAGTATATAGTTTATACTTGACTCACAATTTATATTGTACTTTACATTTCTATTGAATTTAGCTCCCTTGTTTCATGGATTCTACATAGCAGCTATTTAAAACAAAAGAAACATTAAATCTAGCTGAAAGGCCATGATATTTACCAATTACCAAAGCAGCACTGACGTGGTTACCGTGCTTCATCAGCAGGTTATAAATAAGTGCATTCTTGGATTACTGTGAACAGAGCAGACACTAGATTGTAAGAGGGGAAGCATTTGATTGAAAGCCTTTCTTGCTTCCTCCCTCAGTCAGACAACTTAGCAAAAACACTTATATGAGATGGTCAACATCAGATTCCCTCTTTTAACATCTGCAGAGGAAAAAGGAGCCTAGGTATAGGTGGGCCTTTTGAAGACTTGTTCCAATAAAATGTCAGCTGACATTCAAAGCAGCATAGACTTCTGCAGCCACAGCTCCATGAAATTCATAATCTGGCCTAAGAGCCCCAGTCACCCTGTCAGGTTCTGAAATGATAACAGTAAATCTAAACTCAAAAGATGCTGAAACGTATATCCAGCTCACGTGGACAAAATCCTACCCATAGTCTTGTTACTCACGTGGATGACAGTGAGTAGGTTTACTTACATCTTGTAAGACAGGGACAAAATTTCACCAACCTGAAGACATAAGAAGAGCCAGCCCTAACTAAAATCAGTATCAGTTTTAGGATTCTGACTGAGTGCAAGGGGCCAAAGAACTGAAGGGTTGCCCCACCTTGTCCTGGACCTTCTTTCCCCACAGAGCCTTGTGGAACATCTCTCACTAAAGCCCTGTTGATCCAGTTAATGAGCTGCCAGGATAATCTTTCCTCCCAAACAGGTAATGGCCTAATAAATGCCTGGATGTACAGAGGATTTACTGAGGCAAAATTATCCCAAAAACAATTCTGAGTCTTCTGAGAGCTCTTTCTAAAGCATTAGGTTTATGATGGTCATTCAAAAAATAGTCAACTCCATTCTCTTTTTAAAATGTTTCCTCAATGATGTGATTTAAGGGTGAAATAAACCTGGTTTGACAGTGTTCTGTTTTAAGCTGCTATTTGATGGAGAATCAGTTCTGTGTGATTTATAGACTGACGGCTGGCCCAAGAAGGGGCCTGGCAATATCCTCTTAATGACCTAAAGCCAATGTGGCCTCAGCGACAAGAGACTCCTGTTCCCAGAAAGAGCTAATACTGCAGAGCTGGCTGCTGTCTGCAGCAAACCACCACATTCCACAGGCCTGGGCCAGTGACTTGAAGTCGTCTGTGTAATAATCGCTGTCCTGCAATAAAATGTTTCATAAAAATGGCAAGTGTGACAGCCATTTCAATAAATACAGGGCTGGTAATTAGTGATTAAAGTGAACTGCCCTTAAATGAGAAAGAATTGGAGCGTATGCTGTGGTACCAACAACTGCAGCCATTTGACATCACAGCAGTGATATGTCCCATCCCTGCTGGGGCAGTCCTCTAATGAAAGCAACCTGGACCCACTTCCAGATTCAGAATGGGCATCCATCCACAACCCAAACCTCTAAACAGACTGGAAATCAACCTGCAATGACCACTGCAGCCAAGCTGTTCCAGAGACACTGAAAAAAAATGTTCAACCATGACCATCATTGGCTGCCCACACTGAACAGGCAACTCATGTATCCTATTCCTGGATTCTTACCATAAGTTTTCCTGGCTCGATGGTGTCTTCATGGATTAAAAACCAATACTACATCTGATCTAAATAAACACCACCTGCTATGGAAAGGGACTCCTGAGGAACCGTAAGTGAACTGAATGCACCCTTCCAACACGACACAGACATCAACTCCAACCGAGCATGTCAGAGTATTTTCCAAAATAATGCAAAGTGAAATGGGGACAGTTTCACCAGGGAAAGGAAGTATCAAATGAAACCGAAAATCACATTCCTAAGAAGTTATTCCAGCATTTCTGTTTCATCGCTGGGAGATTGTAATTTATTCCATGGAACTATGTTTCAGGTCAAACTTAAGCAAGAATTTGTTTAAAATTTTTAAGGTATTTACTTGGCCATTTCCAAGAAGTAATTTTAAATATCTCAGTGCTCTCATATACCCTGAACCACAAAGTTCACTCCATCTAGAACTGTAAATCAGACCCTGAATTTTGAGGGGAGGTTAATTTTGTGGTGTTTGGGGACCTTGACTAGCTTTCACTGCCCAGGACCCTCAGGCTAGTCACAGTGATGCCAGCCTCAGGGCTGCACCTAGGGTTGTGTCACAGCTTCCCGCTTCCCTATGTTTTTTTCCACCAAGTAACCAGCAACTAGGGTGGGAGCCTGTCACATGGAAAAGTGTCCACACTCTTGACCACCTTTTTAAGCATGCCAGAGATCTTTTTTAAAAAATTTTACTCCCAAACATTATAAAAAAGTGATTTTAGGGGTCTCACCTATTTAGTTTAGGACTAGAATATTCTACTTCATTACCATGATTTTCCTCCTGCCAAGGAGTTCCCATTGTTACTTGCCTATTGTGCAGTTTCTTCATATCTGCCTAAATCAATGTTTAATCCTCAAATCTCAGTTGTGTTTCTTTAGACATACCCACACTATTTCCTGAACCATCCTTACCTAATCTCATCTGCTATACACTCAACATGTGGATTTTTTCAGTTCTCTTTATTGCAGGTCAGTTTTCTGATTTTATTTTATAAAACCCTGGACACAGCACTCTGAAAGAGAGCTGTGATGGATTTAGAAACATGAGTCAGTTCCCAATTCCAAAAAAGGAAGTTAGGAAGGGTGATTATGTGAGTTTGCTACCAATAGTCCCTCCACAGGAAGTTAAATTCTCCTGTCTCTCACCCCAGACATTGGTCATCTCTGTCCTCCTTTAAAATAGATCTACTTCCAATACTTACTTCTGAAAGAAAAAAAAAAAAAAAAGGCACAAAATCATTCTATTCCCCAAAGGGCACCTTCTCCAAAGACGACCATGGTATTCTATAACAAAGCAACATGGCTTCAAGAAAAAGAATCTACGTAACTACCAGGTACTAGAAAAGGGGTATAAATAAAACCAAACACCTACAGAATACAGTTTTCGGATGTGACGTTAGCCTTTTATAATAGCTGGTCAGTCCAAACAGGAAGATGAACACTTGGGCAAAACAAAGTGAGAGGATAATAAATTAGAGCTTAAATCCCATCCTCAACTGTTCCTCTCTCTACGTTGAACTAGCTTCTAATGGAGAATTGTGGATTGTGCAAATAACAGCTGGGCACTGGGAGGCTGAGAATCTGATGAGGCTCAGACATTTTGATGGCTGCACCACAGCCAGGCAAACCATTTCTGTAGACAGATTTGAAGTCAGAAATGTGCAACAAACTGGTATCTCTGGTTTCTTGCCTGGACTCATAAACACTGCTAGGCTGGCTCCTAAGGGCTCACCCAGCCCAGGATCACATCTCCTAGTGTCTATTCCATGGCCTGACTCTCTTTCAATAAACAGTTGCCTCAAAATCCCTGAAACACAAGAGGACCGCCTTCTGCTCTGTCATGTCTGACATTTCTTTCTCGTACTCCCATCAATGTGCTAGGGGGCCCAATTAAGACCAAGTTAGTGCTCCTGAGGCAAAGCCCCTCTGGCTTCTGAGAAGGTGATGGTCAGCTCCCAGACTATGGGCACCCCTGGAACTCAGGAGTGATGCTCACAGACAGAAAGAGCACTGGGGCTTCCAATTACCCTCCTCAGCAGGGAGGCTCAGCCCCTTTCCTTGCTTTTCACCTGCAGAACTAGACCCAAAACAAAGGGGAGTGGAATTTATTATCCATAAGTATCAGTTGCATATGGTCTCCTTTTTAGCTAGCAGTTATTTTGTGAGTTTCTCCTCTTGGTGGTGCTTTATGGAGACTGTGCCTCTAAATATAATTAGGCCCCTTGGAGCAGGCTGGAAGCAGCAAAGATGCACTAATGCATCAAGTCCAGGCCTTCTAATGAACCCCATTACTCAGAAGACAGACTGGCCATGTGGTGGGAGTCACCAGCAGGCACTTGGCTTTGCAGAGCTCCCTGCGACCTGTCTGCATCTGTATCCCGCTCCCAGAGTGGGCTGTGCAGTACCCACTTCCCTACAAAGTGCAACATGTCAGCAAAAACAAACAGAATTACCAGTGTTTTTTACAGATTGCATTAAATTTACCTTTATCCTTTCCCTCCACTTCACCCTCCCCCACCCCAAAGAAACTACCACAAGAGTTTCACAAACTAATCTGCTTGTTTTTGTGAAACACTTATAAAGTAACTATGGTTGTCTCCTTACATAATGATATGATACCACGCTTTCTTCATCTGATCAAATTCCTAAAAAACAGTTAATAGTTTGCATAGGTACACATGATTTTGTGCAAATCATACTAAAATAAGGCTATCTTCAGTGTTTAGGTAATGATATGCTGATTAAAGAAAGCTCTCAAGCAAGAAGAAAATTTCCCTGCATTCCATAGTCTCTCCAAAATGATATCTCACTTCCCAGGCAGCTAGTGGCTTTGCCTGCACCATAAGGCAACATGTATCGGATAGTAAACGTCCCGGAAGGAAAAGTCATGTGACCTGTGCTTGTGTGATGAAGGCAAGAGGGGCTGGGCTGCCCATCCTTAGTCATCCCTTTTATAAAATGGAAGCTAAATACAGAAGCAGCAGGAGCTGTGCATTCTTCAGGTGCTGCTGAAGAGCCAGTCTTGGACACAGGGCACTTCGAGAAACCACCAGATCCCGATACTCACTCGGTACCATCTGAGCTGCAAGAGGAGCGATGATGGGGACTGGAGAAGAACCAAAAAAATGTAAGGAAGCAAGCAAGCCTGCCCAAGAGCGGTCAGCTTACAAGACCTACATTCCACATAACATAAGGTAGAAAGACCCGGCTAGACAGAGAGGAGAGACGAAGAAAATGTCTCCCTTAAATCAAGTATTGTCAGGAAATATCAAAGTAGAAATTTTTGTAAGCAGCTTTTCATTTAACATTCAGTCAAAACATTAAAACCTTATAAAACAAGAACCTCTATTTGGGGAAGAAAAAAAAAAAACCCTAACAACAGGAGTCCTCAAAGTCACCCAGGATCTTGTAGCACAGGATGGAGTGCTCCTGGGCCAAGGCTGCCAGCTCCTTCAGAAACTCCGGGAAGAGGGCAGCGGCAAGCATGGTGTTCCTCACTGGCAGGGGCAGGTCTGGGGGTGCCCCAGCCACCTTGGCTCTGTTGGTCAGGAAAGGTTGAAGCACCCTTGGGGGGCCGTCCAAAAGGTTCCTGCCAGTTCCTGTCCAGGAAGCGTCCTGAATGAGATCTGAAACCAGAAACAAGGGCTGTCATTGTGGCCCTTCATAGCTCTTCTTTTCCCTGCCAATCAATGAAAAGTGGGGGTGGGGGAGTTCCTAGTGCTGGGTTCAGTTCCCTTCCCGGCTCTCTGCAGCTTATGCTCTGGCCCTTAGCGCTTCCTTGTGTCCCCCTTCACTCTCCTGGTCAGGGCTTCCAGCTTTTAAAGAGAAGAAATAACAGAAGCCTTTTTTAAAGGGTGGGGTGCAGGAGAGGAGTTCCTGGTCATGGGCTCAGACTGAGTTCTGAAGCCCATACATCTTGGTCCACACATTTACCTCAGCAGGTAACTGTGACATAAGAGTTTCATCCAAATGCTATATAAGGAGCTCCATGTAGAAACCACAGCAAGAATGTAGATTTATCAAGAACTCTCCATGGCCAGGATGTGGGGAGGGGAATGCAATCAGAAAGGCATCTTCTGCCACCGGCATTAACTGACTAAGGACAGAGCCCACCGGGAAGGCTATTTAGGGATGCCCAGTGGCTCCACCTCATGCTTGGTAAAATGGAGGGTCAACGAAGAAGGGGAAGGCCCTCACCAAGATGGATTGACACAGTGGCTGCAATGGCAGGCCCAGGTATAGCAAGGACTGTGAAGCTGGCACAAGACCATGCAGTGTTTCATTCTATTGTACCTAGGGTTGCTATAAGTCAGAGCGGACTCGATGCCATCTAACAACAACAGTGGTTCCACCTGCTCTCCAAGCTCCCGGTATTAGGGTGACCATTCTACCTTTTTGCTGGTTAAACCCCATTACATGGCATAGGTACAGGAGGAGGCTAGATTAAACGAGCCACTCCCAGCTCTCTGCGGCTCATGCCGTGGCCCCTAGTACTTCCTGGTTGACCCCCTTCTCTCTCCTTCTGGTTAGGGCTTCTAGTTCTTAAGGAGAAAAAGTTTTAAAAAGCCTTTTTTAAAAAAAAAAAAGAAAATTAGGTTTGTCCCAAAGTCTTTGAATGATGGAAATAATGGAGAGGAACTGAGGTGCTGGTAAGATCAGACTGAGAACTCCCCATGACCACGGCTCTAGTGACAGCAGATGGCTTGATGCCTACATTAAGGAGGATTTCCAGGAGTTTTGATCTCAGTTTAAATAACATAGGTCTACAATGATATGAGCCCATACTTTAACATATTCAAGTGATTTGCATTTTCATATCAAATCAATGTCACCAATTAAAACAGTTCACTGACTTTTTAATTCCTGAACATCTCCAGCCTTCATATATTTGTAGGAATTATTTATGCCTTCTTCTGCCCCATACCCAAACAGTCTCATTAAACCAATCAAACCTCACTGCTGTCAGTCGATTCTGACTCTTATCAACCCTGTAGGATGGGGTAGAACTGCCCCATAGTGTTTCCAAGGCTGTAAATCTTTATGAAAGCAGACTGCCACATCTTTCTCCTGCAACAGTCTCATTATTTCTTATAAATCATTATATTTAAGTTCTTCATTATTTTGGCTGCTTTTTGGAATTCAGATCCATTTTTCAACACTCTTCTCAGAGTGGGAAGCCTTAACTACAGTACTAAAAATTCTTGACATTTATAGTACTTTCCACATTGCACTACCATAGTCTTTAGTGTTAAAAATAAATAAATAAAAAATCTTCCATTTTACTGCTTTAAATATCCTACTAAATTAAAGCCATAAAGAACTGGAAAAGTTGAGGATCTGTGTGCTGCTACCTTTCAGCAAAACCCCACAACATGCCCAGACAATGGAGTGAGGAAAATGGTGTTACTGTCACTGAGGTACACTGTCAACATTGGAAACACCCTGCCTCCCCTACCCCCACACTAGCCCTAAGGCACTGTAGCTCTTCAAGAAAGGGCCCAGCACAGCTCACAAGGAAGGTGATTTGGATGCCAGTGAGCAGTGCTTTAGCGCTCAGCTGCTAACCCAAAGGTCAGTGGTTCAAACCAATTTTCTCCAAGGGAGAAAGATGAGGCAGACTGCTCAGGTAAAGAGTATGGCCTAGGAAACCCTATGGAGCATTTGTATACTTTCCTATAGTGTTGGTATGAGTTGGAATCTACTGTACAGCAATGGATTTGGTTTTCTTTTGGTTTGGGGAGTGAGATTCTCCTGGGCACTAGTTCCAGACTAGGACTTTGTCTCATGCACTTTGGTCATGTTGTCAGAAGGGAGCAGTCGCTGGAGAAGGATATCATGTTTGGTAAAGTCAGCAAAAAGGGGGAAGACCCTCAATGAGATGGATTGACTCCGTGGCCATAACGATGGGCTCCAGCATCACAAGGACTGAGGGTGTTGTAGGACTGGGCAGTGTTTTGTTCTATTGCATTTAGGGTTGCTATGAGTCGTAGCTGACTGGATAGCACCTGAAAACTAACGAGACTTTGAGCTTTTGGAGGTCTGAGCCCCTATCAGATAATGTGTCCTTCACACTCTTTAACTCAGTCCCTATTGATAGCAGGAGATAATAAATATCTGTTGAATGAATGAGTGATGGAACCAATCACATAAGGTCTTTCCTACTCCTGATCCTCGCTGCATTGGAATTGGCTCATCTTCATCATTTCTCATCTTCACCTTTCTCTTTCAAATTCACTCCTCCACTCCACCCCCAAAAAGGGTTTTTTTAGTGGCTCATTTATCCAGTTTGAATCCAAGAATCAAAATCGTCTCCAGTAAGGCAGGAGACACCCAGTAAGGAAGACCAAGGGCTTGCACAGCTAATCCTAAAGAGGTTCCATCAGCGACAGATACCTCTGCAGTGTTGTATTTTCACTGTGTCACTCCAGATTTAAAGGCAAGGAGACTTGCAAGTTATGGTTCCTACTGGGAACTTGCAACGTTCTTAGTTTCCTTCTTTTCAAAATGGGGATAATACCTGCTGACTTCCCTTCCAGTGTTAGAAATCAGTGAAAGTGCTGAGTATGAGTAAATACAAGGAACCCTTACTCCATGATTTGCAAGGTATTTGAGGGAAAAACTAAAAGCCTGACAAGTGGCTGAACCTCAGAGACCAATCATTTCAAGAAAGATAATGTGGCAGCGGCAGAAGAAGTCCTCTGCTCTGGGGGGCAGTCACACTGCCGCTTGCTTCTGTTTGATGTGTTAGTGAGAAGACTTGTTCTTTACAGGGACTGCCAGGAGGTGGAGGGAAGGTAGGGGCTGCACAGCGGAACAGCTCAGACTACAGGTGCCTCAGTTATATCCTCATAAAAGGGTTCAACAAGCACATGCAAGCACCTGAAGAAAAAGGCAGGGAGGACAGGAAATATAAATAAATGTCAGAATGAGGAGTGGTTTTCTGAAATGCTGCCCTGTGTATGAAAAACTGCAACAGAGAGTTTTCAAGGCTAATAGTGGGAAGATTTCAGAAGTTAGGGCAGAGATCCATTACAGGCTCATCACCTTGTCAGCAGTGTCAGGTAAAGGGCATAGCACACGGACAATGGAAACCAAGTATGTGGTCCATTAGCATGATTCTTAATCACAAAATGGCTGGGTGTCCAGTGAGAACTCGGGCTTCCTGACTTAATTCATTTACAGCACTCACATCATCCTCAATGTATCAGAAGTTGGTTTTGTACAAGCGGACAGGAACCTTTCTCTTTCTACAATTGTAAAGATTTTTTAAGTTGGAGGGAGGGTGTCACTTTGCTAATCTGAGAGACGTTAGAAACTTAAGCTGAGAAACTCAATTAAAAGGAAAGTCTTCCATCCCAAGAGAAGCTTCCCACAAGTCAAAATCTCCTGAGTGTCGCAGACCTTAAAACCATCGATGGTAGATGACTATATCGACAACACTGTGAGTTGGGAAAAAGTTCCCTGGGCACATCTCTGGCAACCATGCCTATCAGTCTGAAGCCAGGGCAAAGCACAAGGTTTGAACAACCCCACCTGTCCCATTCCACTCCCACTCTCCCTGGACGTGCTGGTTAAGGCTCAGTGCACAGTGTTGGCAGTGTGCGTGTGTGCGCATGTGCGTGTGTGTGCTCATCTCTATGAATTAGGCAGGGCTGTCTCACTCACTTAGGCTTCAAGATCCTGCCTTACTACCCTCGGCCTCCAGCTCCATTTTCCTCATCTGATAATGAGGCAAAAAGAACCTCTTTCTTGCCCATTTCACAGTGTTATTTGAAAGTTGATTACCTGGGAAATCATCTCAAAAACTATAAAATGCAAATGAAGACAAAGCCTTCAAATACAACAAAAGGTCTCCTGTATGTCATCATTAGGTGCTATCGAGTTCATGGCAGCTCATAGTGATCTTAGAGTGATGAAATGTTGCCTCATCCTGTGCTGTCCTCACAATTATTGTTATGTTTGAGCCCTTCCTTACAGCCACTGTGTCAATCTACCTTCTGTATAGCAGACTAAAAAAAATATCCGTTTTTTCTTTTTTTTTGGCTGGACACACAGCCATTTTTCTTTGCAGTTCTTCCCACCAAGAGGTAGGCTTTGTCCGCCATTCTTGAGTCTGGGCTGGCCCTGTGACTTGCTTTGGCCAACAAAACACAGCAGAGCTGACCTATGTGAGGCCCAAGCCTGAGCCTCAGAAGATTTTGTATGCCTCTGCTCTCACTCTGAAACCTACAGCTGTGATACTGACAAACCTGAGCTAACCACTGGATGATGAGAAGCACATACATCTATCATTCCCATCACCCCAGCCAACAGCCACAGACATGCGTGAGGCCATCCTAGACATCCAGCCATCTGCTGACAGTAGATACACAAGGATGTCCGGTCAACATCAGCTGAGTCTGGTCCAGATCAGCAGAACTACCCAGCTAACTATACAGACTCAGAAGCAATCACAAATGGCTTTGTTTTAAGCTGCTGGGCTTTTGCATAGTATGTTATATAAAAAAGCTAACTGATGCGACTTCTCTCATAGGGTGGGTTATAACATCACACTCCCTGTTTTGGTTACCTAGTGCCACTCTGACAGGACTATACCACAAACAGAATGGCTTTAACAAACAGGAATCTACTCTCTTACAGTTTGGAGGCTTTAAGTCTGAGTTCAAAGTGCCAGGCTCTAGGGCTGGGTGAAAGCCCCTCAGCTTGGGTTTCAGCTCTGCCTCCTGCTCTTGGCCCACTGAAGCTGGAGGCTGCTGAGACTGACAAGTAAAAAGGCACAGTCCTGATGTTACCAAACCACACAGCACGCCATTAACTCAAGTTCACTAAAAGTCCCAAGGTTGGCAGAGCATGGCAGGCTGCTGAACAATGACAAGACTACATAGCAGGGTTCAAGTGTGCTATAGGCTAGAGACCATTCCCAAAGCTGTTTCTTATATACAGGAAGCAGACCACATCCTTAAGGCAGCTATTCAGCTGCTCCCAGTAGATTCCACTAAGAGTTGATTACCAGTCTCATCATGGGGAATACTATATCCATCTGCCCAGCCACTCTACCAGGCCAAGCCAAGTTGACACACAACCTTAACTACCACACTCCCTGTTCAGGAGGAATGAAGCTAACAGTCTGACTACCTACATGGTTAAGAGAAGCCAGTTATAGTCTGCCTTTCCACCAAGTAGGGACTTCTTTCTTCCCATGAATAACCTTGCCTGCTGAAGCCTAATTTATTAAGCATCATTTACCAGTGGCATCAGGCCCACCTTTCTTTCAAAATCTGACTGTAGTGCCCTAAAGATGCATCACAGCCAGAGTTCTATTTAAAAGTCAAAAGATCTGAGACCCAGCAATGCAAAGTGACCAAGACCACACAGCTACACAGAGGCAGGATCAAGCCTTCAGAGTTCTGGGTAGTTTTCAGCTTATTTGAAACATTAGAAAATTGCCCTGAGTCACATGTCTGTAGACTACTCCCAACCTTGTTTCTGAGCAAGTGACCTGAGCCCAGGACAGAGAGGCTCTGTCTCTCCACTGTTCACCTGCCACAAGAAGCCCTACTTGTCTGTGTGAGAATTATTCAGAATCACAGCAATATAGGGCATTTTGTAGTTTGTGCTCACCAAGGCCTGAGTCACACCTCAAAAGACAAGTGGTTGGTCATTGAATCTATTTAACTCAAGCTTTACTGAGGCAGAGGTCTGAGCTCCCAGGCCTGGTTGACTGGCAGGCCCACTCCCAGCTTTCCCCTCAGCACTCATACCCCACTTTCCCTACCTGTTCTGCCAGAGCCCCATCTCACCATCTTCTCTAAAGCTGAGTATAGGCATTCTCAGGAATTTTAGGCTGAGCATAAACTTTACTTCTTCTAGTCCAACCGAGCAGATTTTACCTCCTAGAGCCCTAAAGCACATTTATTTTTGGCCTGAGAACCTCTGAAAACACAATAAAGAGAATGGATGTTCCCCTCAGGGTCAGGATGGCCAATAGAAGACTTGGGTGTACACATGATGCCTCTTTCTAGCTGAGTTATTTACTTCTAGCCTGACAATAACCCACACATCAGCCCCTTCCTTGAACTACTCTAAGGAAAATAAATGCCCTCTAGATACTTCAGGGTGGAAACAGATGAGGTGTGGGCAGGTTCTCCAGATCTCTCCCCAGATTTAAGAACAGTAATAGTAGGCCCCTTCCTGTTGGGTAAAAATGAAAATATCTTTAGATGCTTCCAGAGGCCAGGAACCAGTGAAACGTTTGTGAATGCATACAGGACGCCCAAACCAGAGAGCTGAGGCAATAGAGGAGCAGCCATTTAAGGACAGACACAGTGGGACAATATCAGTTACCTTTGGTTAGTGACTCAGACGTCATATCACTCATGTCCACTCGGAAGAGCAGGTATTGCTGGGCTTGTATAAGGAGTCCTGGGAAATCTCTCTCCATAGAAGCAAACTGCTCAATTTTGTTTTTCACAGATGCAAGGACCTGTCAAAAACAACATTAATGATATTAATGCTTCACAACGGGAATTCCACCCACAGTTATCAATATATCTTTCAGGTGTAGCCTGTATGGGGCATGGGGAAGACACCACACACTATTAGAATATTAGGCATTTGCTCATTTTTAACAGCCTGGGTGTTCTTGGTAGATAGCCCTGAAACACTGAACTAAAAGGAAGCTTTGCAGTTTGTCTAGAATAATCAGCACAACCAGCTCAATAGGACACAGAGTAGGAAATGAAATGAATTAGAAAAGAGGAATTAAAAAAGAAATTACAAGAGGAAGGAAGAAAGGGACCCAGCATATTAGCACCCATGAAGTCAACAGGTTGGATGTGAGCCCAGCTAACTAACGTACCTGATAGAGAGAGCGTACACTTGGCTGGAAGACCATATTGGTGTTGAGCAGAAAAGAACGCAGGAGTGGCTGGGGGTAGCTGGCTAGCTGAGTGATGATCCCAATAAGTAGCAAATTAACATGTAAAGAGTTCTCCAGCATGTTCTCCAGTTTTGACAGGACCACACTGATGAATGGACCTGCAGAAGGAACACAAAGATTGAGGGCTGGCTGGGCACGTGGGGACATTTTTCCTCAACAACTAAGGAGCCATTGGAGCCACAGCCTCCAAACTACTGCAGGCCACGAGGTCCAAACCTAGGCACTACTGCCTCAAAACAAAAACAAAGAACCACACCCACAAAAAGAAAGCAGAAAGATTCAGTGCAAGCTATTATTTTGATTCCATGAAAGTTTTAATACTCTGAAAATCATCAGACTGAAAAGAATCAGACCATAAATAATTTAATGTTTAAAATTAAAATATACCTCTCCATACTCTTTCTGCATATCTAGGGGCTGCCAATGCTGAAAAACATGACACCTATCATCTCATGATTAATGTGTGTTGTAAGGTTGCATATAAACATTAACCAAAAAAAAAAAAAAAAAACCTTATTGCTGTTGAGTTGATCCCAACTCTTAGTGATCTGTAGGGCAGAATAGAACTAAAACATAGGGTTCCTAAGGCTATAATCTTTCCCAAAACAAACTACTACATCTTTCTCCACAGACAAAATAGTGGGTTTGAACTGCTGACCTTTTGGTTAGCAGCCAAATACTCACCCGCTGTATTCTCCTTATACAAACCAGGACTCCTTATACAAACATTAGCAGCCATCAAAACAAACTTTTGGTGACATTAAAGATTGCCAAACACCTACAAACGACGTTTACCCATGACCAACATTGTGAATACAAACCGTCCATCCCAAACAAGAACTCTGAGAAAGATTCTGCTTGATCAAGTGTCACAATGGGCAAGAACGTGGAGAAAGATAAGGTGTGGAGTGAAGCCCTAGGCTATTAGCTTTAAGCCCTGGATAATTCAGTAACCACACTTCAAATCTAAGATTAGAATGAAGGGACTCAATTTTGGGAGCTGTAGTTTGGCATCTCATTGATTCTTTAAAAAGAAAATCCACACAACTATAAAAGCAGTTCATTAAAAAAAAAAAAAAAAAAAAAGTTTGGCAAAAAAGCTTCTAATGTAGGTTGCTAAAAAATTAATATGCTTCATGTTTAAGTTCACTGAAAGCAGAGGATATCAAGAAAAATGATCTAGCATTAAAAAAAGTTACTTGTAGATGTTTTAGATTTTTTCAATAAAAGTGTTCCATTAAGCAAAAACTCAGTGAGAATTTTGTATTTCCCCCAGTGGAGCTATTGGTGACGCCACTAAACTATGACATATTTATAACAAAAAGCTCACAACCTCTGATGAATAAACATGCCTTATAAAGACTTCACCAACATTAATATGAGTTTAACAAAAGGATACTTCATCACAAGGTATTTCTCTCAGAAGCCCTGGCAGTGTAAGAGAATAGAACCCTTTGCAAGAAAACAGAAGCTATCAGTAATAAATGGAAACATTAAACCTAAACCTTTTACCAACACAGGCAAGAAACAGAGATTGACAGTTCAATCTCCAGAGCAGTCTCTAGGGCAATCTCTGTTGTTGTTGTTACATGCTGTCGAGTCGGACCCGACTCATAGCGACCCCTTGGGTTTCCGAGGTGATATCACTGCGAAAGTAGATTGCCCAACCTTCCTTCCGAGGAGTGGCTGGTGGGTTTGAACCGCCACCCTTCTGGCAGTCTCTAGGGCAGTTCAAACCCACCAGCCACTCTTCGGAAGGAAGACTGAGCAATCTACTTTTGTAGAGATACTGCCTTGAAAACCCAAGGAGGGGGTCGCTATGAGTCGGATCAGACTCGATGGCAGTGAGTTTGGTTTTTATTTTTAGGAATACAGAAGATGCCCCTAATGGTCTCAATACACAGGAAAGGCACCATGCCCTCAATGCAGAGTCTTCATGTGGTTATGCCCAACTTCCCCATCCTTGGGGTGGATAGATCGCAGAGCTCCTTGGTCACTTTCCATGACGCAGGAGGTAAATAAACTCTTCAACTAGACAGCCCTTGAAAAAGTGAACAAAACGGGGAGAGTGCCAAACACATTCACAAATTTCAGACTAAGACTAGAAGCCCAATTTGAAAGCAACTAATGATTTTCCCATCAAGCACTCTAGAAATGCCACTGCTAACTCTTCTTCAGCATTACAACATAATTCTGGCCTTTCAGGTGGCTCTACAGGGACAAGGTTGCTTCCTCTCGCCTGCCTCAACCCCAGATTCAGCTCTTCTCCATCTCCTCTGACTCCAAGCAGTTCCTAAATCTGCATCTATTTCTTTCCAGAGCGAGCAGAGCTAGGTGAATCAAGACATATTTAGGTAGGTAGAGTCTTCTGTAAAACATATGTCCCAAATGTGATCTCCCAACTGTCCTTCCACTGCCCTAGACTGTACTTGGCCTCACCAATAAAGTCACCAGGAGGGACCATCTCCAGTCCATCACCATCATAATAAAGAAGGAAAAAAAAAAAAAAAAAAAAAAAAGCTTGAACCCAGCACCCTTTGGAGAGTAGAACTGCATCACATTTTCTCTCTTGAATGACAGAGTAATAGGCCAAGGTCAGCAGACTGTCATTATAATCCACTAATAACATTAATTACAACTTCCTAGGCATGTGCAATAAAAATATATATTAAAACTTTTCAAATCCCTGTTTTATTCTTAGTTTGTTTCTACCACTTAAAAAAAAAAAAACAACAAAAAAAAAACAACCCACTGCCATCGAGTCGGATCCGATTCATAGCAACCCCTCCTTGGGTTTCCAAGGCGGTATCACTACGGAAGTAGATTGCCCAACCTTCCCTCTGAGGAGTGGCTGGTGGGTTTGAACCGCCAGCCTTCTGGTTAGCAGTCAAATGCCTTAGGCACTACATCACCAGAGCTCCCTTCTACCACTTAAAGAATAAATAAACAAACAAACAACAACAACAAAAATACCTGCTTAATAAAAAGCAATTGCTAGGGGAAACTGGCAAGCAGCTAAAAATCAGAAAACTCAGCTATAATTTGGAATGCCACAGGTATGTATGGGAGGTGGAGGGTGTATTTTTTTTTTCCCTTCTCCAAGGGGGACAGATAAACTACCCACCCATGTTGTTGTTGTTGTTGTTATGTGCTGTTGAGCTGGCGCCGACTCATAGCAACCCCTCCTTGGGTTTCTGAGGCAGTATCACTACAGAAGTAGATTGTCCAACCTTCCTTAGGATTATCTCTACCACTCCTCCCTGTCATTCACTCTTCTCCCCTTAAGTACCCCTATCAACTGCCTCAGTCCACCTGCTTCCTCCTCCTAATTCCAAGGATAGGGCCTCCATCCATCCTGGGCCTTAGCTCTGCTCATTCTACCTTGGAAACACCTCTGAGTGCAGACCTTCATCTTCACCTCACCTGGCAGCACCACACTGGGCCAGAGTCTTTCTATTTTAATTGAGATTAAAAAATTTTTTTTCCAATCAGTACAAAGGTATCCAATTAAAACACAAGCCTTCTCCCCAGAGACAACAGATTCTAGTGTAGTATTCCAGAAATGTTAAGTACTTAGTATGTAACAGGTAGTAGTCTTCTTTGTATCAACTCACTTAATACTAGTGACCAGTATGTTTATTACTCATCCCCATTGAAAGATAAGGCAGAATGCTAAATGAACAGAGCAGTAAATGATAGAGTCAGAATTTTAATTCAGACATCCTGTCTCTAGTGCTCATACTCTCTCAGACAATACATTATGTGTCTCCAGGTGTGTGTGTGTGTGTGTGTGTGTGTGTGTGTGTTTTAAATAAAAACATTCTCTACACACTGTTCTGCACCTTGCCTTTACACTTAACAATCTATCCTGGAAGCTACCCCATATCATATCATATCATCATATCATACACAGAGTTGCCTCATTCTTCTCAGAATATTCAATTGTTATGTGTGTTGCTTAAATAAACTAGTCTCCTACCAGTGGGCATTTGGATTGTTTCGTCTTTTCTATTATAAACAACACTGCAAAGGACATTCTTACATATACGTCTTGGCACAAATATTCTAAGGAAATGTTCCTAGAAGCAGCATTATTGGATCAAAGCACTGGTGCATTTTGAATTTTGGTAAGCCTGCAAGAGTCTCTGACTTGATTTCCCTGGCACCAACTTTCCTCACTACCACCAAGTGTAACTCTTTCAAACACAGATCCAGTCACATCACTTCCCCAACTTTAATACTTTACTGCCAAAGGCATAAAGACCCTATTCCTCAGCTTGGCCCAAAGGCCCCCCAAAAGCTGGCATCAACCAAGTTTTCTGGCCTCTTTTCTCCACCTCTCTGCCCGCATGATCCATGTTCTACACATTCGGGGGGGGGGGGGGCACAGTTGCCATTGAGTGGATTCTGACTCCTGATGACCCCTGTGTGTTAGAGGACTGTGCTCCACTGGGTTTCCAATGGCTAATTGTTTGGAAGCAGATCTCCAGGCCTTTCTTCTGAGATGCCTGTGGGTAGACTTGAACCTCCAACCTTTTGGTGAGCAGCTGAGCATGTTAACTGTTTACACCACCCAGGGACTCCACTCTATCTACACATTCTCTTCCCAAAATACCCCAAGCACTGTCAGGCTCCTTTGTCTGCCCACTTGTTGTTTCTGCTGCCTAGACTTCCATTCTGGTCCACTTTTACCTGGGAATTTCTACTCATTGTTCATGCCCCAGCACTGTGAAGCCTTTCCCACCCCTCCCACCCTCACTGGGATCCTGTAGGACTTTGTATACAACATCTCTTCCTAAGGGAGTCTAGTTCCTTGTTGATGTCTCTTCTGAAAGACTGTGAATTCCAGATCTGGTGGTGTAGTGCCTAAAGCATTTGACTGCTAACCAGAAGGCTGGCGGTTCAAATCCAAAAGCCACTCCTCGAAAGGAGATATGGGCAATCTACCTCCATAGAGATACCACCTCGGAAACCCAAGCAAGGGTCACTATAAATTGACTTGACTCAACAGCAGTGAGAGTTTGAGTACCTAGTATAAACCAAACCAAACCCTATAGAACTCACAGCAACACTAAAACACAGAACAGAACTGCCCAAAGGGTTTGAATATGAAACCCATTGCTAATGAGTTGATTCTGACTCTTAGCAACCCTACAGTACAGAGTAGAACTAACTGTCCATAGGGTTTCCAAGGTTGTAATGTTTACAGAAACAGAATACCACCTCCTTCTCCCACAGCGCAGCTGGTGGGTTCGAATCACCAACCTTCTAATTAGCAGCTGAGTGCTTAACCATTGTGCCCACATAGCTCCTTAGTACCTAATATGAAACCCATTGCCAACAAATTGATTCTGACTCTTAGAAACCCTACAGGACAGAGTAGAACTGCCTAGAGGGTTTCCAAGGCTATATTCTTTACCAGAGGACAGCCACATCTTCCTACCATGGAGCTGGTAGGTTCAAACTACTGACATTTTGGTTAATAGCTGAGCACTTAATCACTTCACTACCAGGGTTCCCTGTACCTAGTATAAAACCAAAACTGAACTCACTGCCATCGAGTTCATTCCAACTCCATTGGGTTTCCAAGACTGTAAATCTTTACAGAAGCAGACTGCCTCATTTTTCTTCAGCAGAGCAGCTGGTGGGTTCAAATCACTGACCTTTTGGTTAGCAGCCAAGTATCTTAACCACCACACCACCAGAGCTCCTTGTATCTAGTATGTTGTTGTTGTTGTTATGTGCCGTCGAGTCGGCCCCGACTCATAGCGACCCCTCCTTGGGTTTCCGAGGCAGTATCACTACGGAAGTAGGATTGCCCAACCTTTCTTCCGAGGAGTGGCTGGTGGGTTTGAACCGCCAGCCGTCTGGTTAGCAGGCAAGTATCTTAGCCACTATGCTACCAGAGTTCCTGTATCTAGTATAGCATCTGCCAAATACTAAGTTATTAATAAAAGACTACCAAATGGACCATGTGAACATTAGCCTACATGACCCTGAGACCAAAAGAACTAGATGGTACCTGGCTACCAATGTCAACCACTCAGAGAAGGATCAAAATAGGAGATACTGGATAGAGTGGGAGAATAACGTGGAACAAAACTCAAAATCATAAAAAAAAGAGACCAGTCTTGCTGGTCTGATGGAGACTGGTGAAATACCTGAGGCTATGGCTCCTAGTCACCCTTTGGGCCTGGTATTGAACTCAATCCTGGGGCTTCCAGTCAGATAATGGATAGGCCTTTAAGGTGAACATTTACACGAGGTAGGTGCACTCCTTAGAACAATCACCTATGGGAGATCCGAAGGGCAGCATTTGCACAGGGAGATACCTCACAGGGCAGGAATGTATAGAAAAGGCATAAGAAGGAACTGGGAAGAGAGCTGTCACATTGTAGGGACTACAATCAATGTCATGAAATAAAATGTGTATGCACTGTGGAAGGGAAATGAATTTGCTTTGTAAACTTTCACCCAAATCACACACACACAAAAAAGGCATGTTTGGTTAAAAAGAGAGAAAGACAGAGAGAGAGATCGCCAAATGCATGAATAAGTAAAAAATAAGACAGATAAACTGAATACTCTGATTTTACTGGGAAACAAAGTCATCCCTCTTTGGAGTCCTGGAAAGCAGGACTCCTGAGGAGAAAGGAAGTTCAGCCTATTAGAGATATTTAGAAGTTTGGAATCTACAAAGCTCCTATACATGGAAACAGAAAAGATGTCTCCTAAAGCTGGGTACATGTTTCAAAGGAGGAAAAAGGCAAGGTTTTATGTAAAATGATGCATATGTATCAAAGAATCACATTATGTTTAATATTACATGCAAAATATTATTATTTAATAAAGTGCTGTCTTAGCTTCCCCCCTCCACCCCAAGGTATGCTTCATTTCCTCAATTTACATATTTCTCAGGGATGACTCTCCTTCATGGGGAAAAAAAAAACTCAGTGCCATTGAGTCAGGTCCTACTCATAGCAACCCCTCCTTGAGTTTTCAAGGTAGTATCACTATGGAAGTAGAGTGCCCAACCTTCCTTCTGAAGAATGGCTGGTAGGTTTGAACTGCCAACCTTCTGGTTAGCAGTCAAATGCCTTAGGCACTATGCCACCAATGGTATTCTAAAAAACAGTCTTCATCAGGCATGGGTTGTCCTGCTGTCCTACCAAAACACCACAGGACAAAGCTTAGCATTTCCTGCTGGGTGAGAGTGAATGGGGCAGCCCTTGAGCAAAACTGCAAGTTTCTAGGTTACTCTTAGAGGCCCTGAGTGGTACAAGGTTGGAGGTACAAATCCACCCAGAGGCTCCTCAGAAGAAAGGTGATTTGCTTCTGAAAAATCATTCCTTGAAAACCCTATGGAGTGCAATTCTACTCTGACACACACATGGAGCTGCCCTGAGTCAGAATGAGCTCAACGAGAACTGGTGATGGGCTAGGTTACCCCAGCCCTGGACTAGTGCACAACTCTCCTCCCATCAGCCAGGGTCCTCCTCCCCCGACTCCCTTAGCCCTTTGTTTTATCAACTGGGAAAAGTAACATTATATAATCCCTTTTACTTCTGATCGACTGATTGAATGTTAATTAAAAGTCATTCACACTGAAATGTGATCTCAATTAGAACCTCAAGCCCTTTAATTGTGGAATTAAAAGACTTCTCCCTGTTTAAATAAATTTCCAGGCATCAGTAAACACATGAATAAATATTGGGGGAGGAGGTTGAAAGAGCTCCTTGTCACATTAGGCCTCCTTGGCTAGACCAGAAGGTAATCTGAGTTAATCTATTCTGGATGGTAGAAGGTGATGGGAGCATGGTCCTTTCCCACAGTGCCTGTGAAAACAATCACAATGACCTCCACAGTCTGTCATTAGATCCTCACACGAGCAAACAGAGGGTCAGAGAGGCCTATGCTATGTGGTTAATGAGCGCTGGAGGCAGGACCTCCCACAGGCCTGACTCCAAGCCATTGTCTGTCCCTTTGTGTCACTAGCTTCTTCCAGGACCTATCCTTGCTACCTGAATACCATTCAGGGATCCCATGCCCACCTTCCCTGATAATAATGAACCCTCTGCACCAAGACTGGCAGATTCAGATGTTATAGGTTAATCCTTAATGATATTTTCTATCATAAATTCTTCACCCCAACCTATTTATCTGGTATCTTATGCTATTTTTTTGCCTCTTATTTGATGTCCACCCATTGCTGGGGGACACTGGAACACACTCATGTTTTAGTAGAGTTATGAGTTTATGCAATTCCACTCTGTTTTTGAATAAAGATTTTGTGACTATCTGAAATGAGCTCTCAGGAAAAGGCGCAACTCTCCCCATTGCACTGCTAGTGTAGGTACACAGCTACATTCATTCAATAAGTATTTACTAAGCACCTATTATGTGCTCTGTTTACTGTTCAGGTACTGAGGATAGAAGAGACAATAAAACAACATCTTTGCCCTCATGGAAGAAGCGCTGGTGGTACAGTGTCTAAGGCATATGAGTGCTAACCATAAGATTGATGGTTCAAACCCACCAGCCACTCTGTGGATGCAAGATAGAGCAATCTACTTCCATAAAGATTTACCACCTGGGAAAACCAATGGGGGCCGCTGTGAGTTGATTCATAGGAATTGACTCAATGGCAGTGAGTTTATTTGCCCTCATGGAGCATGCACTCTAGAAAGGCATTATTTTTAAAAAAATAAGTGCTAGAGAGAAAACAATAATTACACTAAAGGAAATGAGACTATTAAATAATAAGACTGGATTTCCATGGCTTAATCAGTCCAATTAATCACAGACAGACCAAATGAAGTTCCTAAACAGTAAAAATTTAGCTCCTAATTTGCTGAAAAAACAAGATAATCACTACAAGAATGACAAAATAAAATGAAACTAAAATTAAACCACTTCTCTGCTCTTTACAAAAATATTTTTCCTTCTATTAATTGACAATGCTCTTTCCTTCCACTTACCTTACTTTCCCATTCCAATACACACAGATACTTTCAAAAGCAGAAATCACAAAGCAACTTAAGATGGTCACCTGTGAATGGGGTGCTCTGAGTCCTCACTTGGTGGTGACTGGCAAAGGCAGTCTCATCTCTGGCCCCAAATGGGGAAGGCAGGGCCTCTACAGCAGGAGTTTCTGCTATGAAAGAGTCAAAGTCATCCTCATCCTCTTCTAGTTCCTTCTTCCCCTCCTCCTCTTCATCTTTCTTTTCTTCTTGGCTCCCTTCCTCCTTCCTCTCTCCTTCCTTTGTGAGAAGCAAAGGATCAGAGTTGGGGGAATTCTGTTTAATCAAGCTCTCCGAGCCAGAATCCAGCTCTTTAATGATCTGGTCATACTGGGCAATGAAATCTTCACTCTCTGGGTTGGGCTCTGCCTCAGAGACAAGGGGTGTTAAGGCAAAGTTTGACTCTGGGGCTGCTACTTTAGGCTCATTCTCTTGTGTCAGTTCTTTGGACACAGTTTGAAACAAGTCTAAGTTGTCCCTGTTATGTTCTTCCCTTGAATCTGTTTCTGGCTGGAGACGGGGAAGGGGGCCATTACTTATGGGGGCACTCTGATCCTTAGTCTGGGCTTCAGCTGGTGCCCTTCCAGTCTCTTCCTCTGCATTTCTGGTGTCCTCACAGTCCTTCTCAGCACACAACCTGTACACCATCACGTCATCCTGGAAGTCTGACTCTTCGATGTAGGACCCTTTGAAGAGCAGAATAGCATTTTTCTTCATCTCTTGGATGTGTTTGGGGGGATCGATGGGTGCTGGGGGGCCTGAGTTCTCCATAGCCTTGCAAGGTTCGGGGGAGTTCACGTCAGCCCCTGAGGAGATTCCAGTGTCATAACTGTCATCCCACTCCAGCTCTGTCTGGCCCTTCTCTTTTCTTGGAGCCAGCTGAGATGCTCTCTTACTGGGAAATGGATGCTGGAACCTCAACACAGGGTAGGCTGAGTTTCTACTGCCTTCCTCTGAGAGGCTTTGGAGAAAAGTCTCAGGGTCAGGGGACTCTCCGTCATAGAGAGCAGACCAAACGCAGCAGTCCCTCATGCAGCGGAGGATATTGGTATGGGCCTCCCAGAGGTACTGCAGGTAGCTGATGTCCAAGGCTTTCCCATACTCCACAATGCAGGCTGATGGAGAGAACACCTCAGGGAGTGGCTGATCCATGGGCCCTGCAGTAGAAAGCAGGAACAAGTTAGAACAAGTTCCTTTCTGACATTTAAGAAAAGTGTGGGGACAGATGGAGTGAGCAGGATATGTCTCACTCAGCTTCTAAGACTGTCTGACCAGCTACCTGACCTTCAACAATGTTTGATTAAATAATTTCTGAAATGAAAAATGGTTAGTTTTTTTTTTTTGAAAGAAAAGATAGGAACAGAAACTCTAACAGACGACAAGAGTCCCTGAGTCATACAAATGGTTTATGTGTTTGACTGCTAACTAAGGGCTGGCAGTTAAAGTCCACCCAGAAGCACCTCGGAAGAAAGGCCTGGAAATCTACTTCTAAAACATCAACATTGGAAACAATGTGGAGCACAGTGTTGCTCTGACACACATGGGCTTGCCAAAAGTTGGCATGGCAACTAGTGATAACAGAGGATGAAAAACAAAAGCAATATGGTCAGTTAGATCCTGGCTACAGCCAACATGAACTGTTACTGGGTATCAATCATAGAAGTAAGAGCTAAGAATGGCAACCTCTCAGGTTGTTGAGAGAGTTAAAATGTGTAATATTCCTAATATGCCATGGTACCTGCCATGGAATAGGTAATGATTAAAAAGTTCTTTAGTTTACTTTAAGATAGAAGGCCTGTAATTCATGAATTTGAGGTACTCTGTTGGGAGCCAAGTTTTCTCTACAAAAAACTCTGGGTTTTTAGTAAAGATTATTAACTCATTCTGCCTACTTGGGAACTATGGGGATGTTGATGAGTATAAAATGGTCTCTTACAGTAAAGTCATATTCAGTACCAAAATAGTCCTTTTAACCTAAGAATATTCCCTGTGTTACCAGTTATCTCTGACTGCCTTTGATATGAAAGTTCTTAACATCATCGATGAAATAACTATGAAAAACATCCGCATTTAAGTTTACATTTTCCCTAAAAGAAAGAATTTAGACAAGGAATAATATATACTCTGTTGTTAGCTGCCATCGAGTTGACCCTGACTCAAGGTGTGTCAAAATTGTGCTCCATCAGATTTTCAAGGCCATAACTTTTCAGAAGCAGTTCACCAAAAAACAAAACAAACTCACTGCCAACAAGTTGATTCTTATTCATAGTGACCCCCATTGGGTTTCCAAAGTTGTAAATCTTTACAGAAGCAGACCGCTTCATCTTTCTTCCATGGAGCTGCCGGTGAGTTTGAACTTCTGATCTTTCTGGTTAATAGCCAAATGCCTTAACCACTACATCACCAAGCAGATCATGAGAAAACCAAAACCAAACTCATGGCCATAGAGTCGGACCCAACTCATAGCGGCCCCTCCTTGGATTTCCGAGGCAGTATTACTATGGAAGTAGATTGCCTGATCTTCCTTCCGAGGAGTGGCTGGTGGGTTTGAACTGCCAGCCTTCTGGTTAGCAGTCCAATGCCTTAGGCACTGTGCTACCAGAGCTCCTACAGCCTGTCTGTATACTCTGTTGTTGTTGTGCACATCAAGTTGATTCGTTGTGCACATCAAGTCGGTTCTGACTCACAGGACAGATGATTACTGCCCTATAGGGTTTCCTAGGTTGTAACCTTTATGGGAGCAGAACACCAGATCTTTTCTCCCGTGGAGTAGTAACTGGTGGGTTCAAACTGGTTAGCAGCCAAGCACTTAACCACTGTACCACCAGAGTTCCATGGCTACCTACTCTTAAAAAAAAAAAAAAACTATCTCTTAAATACCTACTGTGTGGGAGTTCCAGCAAGATGGCGGACTAGGCAGAAGGATTGCACAGACCCTCTTCAACAAAGAAAAGGGAAACCAATTAACACAGACACA